CCAGTTCCATAATGCTCCCTTTTACAGACTAATCTCCTTTTAGCCTGGGTCCAGCAATCACTCACACCCCCTGTAGTTACTGTCCTTTGTTCCAGTTTCTTCCAAGTATCCTGGGGGGTGGAGAGGCTCCCTCTTTAGCCAGCTGAAGTCCAAATGGAGGGGTCTCTCAGGGGTTTAAATAGACTCTCTCTTGTGGGTGGAGACCCCCTCCTCACTCCTATGCAAAGTCCAGCTCCAAGATGGAGTTTAGGAGTCACCTAGGCAAGTCACATGTCCATGCATGACTCACAGTTTTTACAGGTAGCATCCATTGTTTACATGCTACCTTGAACATCCTCAAGTAGACTTCTTATGTGGATTGGAGTATTCCACGATCCATTGTCCTTTAAGTGTTTCTTGATTAGATACTTAACTTCAACATTCCTTTCTCCAGGAACTGACCAAATGCTCTACTAAGGTTATTTAGAAATCAAGCCAGTACACAGCCAGTATTCATAACTTCGAATACAAGAATGATACATGCATACAAATAGGATTAATAGATTCAGTAGATCATAACTTTTGAGATATGTTACATGGCATATGTAGCATAAAACACATTCTAAACATATTTCCATAAAGCCTTATGGGAGGTACCATCACAATCTGCTCTAGGAATTATTTGGGGAAAGTTTTAGGGCCTGTGTTACACAGGAGGTCAGGCTAAATGATCACAATGGTCCCTTCTGGTCTTGGAATTATGAATCATAGAAATGTCAGGCTGGAAGGGACCTTGGAAGGTAATCTAATCCAGCCCCCTGCGCTGAAGCAGGACCAAGTAAACCTGGACCATCCCTGACAGGTGTTGTACGGCCTGTTCTTAAAAACCTCTAGTGACGGGGGTTCCACAACCTTCCTTGGAACATATTTCAGAGCTTAACTATCCTCAGACTTAGAAACTTTTCCCTAATCTCTAACCTAAATCTCCCTCACTGCAAATTCAGCCCATTACTTCTTGTCCTACCTTCCAGACATGGAGAACAGTTGATCACTGTCCTCTTTATAAGAGCCCTTAACACATTTGAAGACTGTTATCAGGTCCCCCTTCAGTCTCTCTCAAGACTAAACAGGCCCAGTTTTTTTAACCTTTCCGGATAGGTCAGGTTTTCTAAACCTTTTAGCATTTTGGTTGCTCTCCTCTGGACTCTCTCCAGTTTGTCCACCTTTTCCCCAGTGTGGCATCCAGAACTGGACACAATTCTCCAGCTGAGTCCTCACCAGTGCCAAGTACAGCAGGACAATTACCCCCTATGTCCTACATATGATACTCCTGTTAATACACCCCAGAATGATCAGCCTTTTTTTTGCAATTGCATCACACTGTTGACTCATATGCCTTTTGTGAACCCCTATAACCTTCAGATCCTTTTCAGCAGTACCACCTAGCCAGCTATTGAGCATTCTGTAGTTCTGATTTTTCCTTCCTAAATTCTAATCCTGTCCTCCAAAGCGTTTGCAACCCCTCTCATCTTGGTTTATCTGCAAATTTCATAAGCACACTCTTCATTCCATTATCCAATCATTAATGAAAATATTGGATAGTATCAGACCCAGGACTGACCCCTGCAGGACCTTGCTAGATACATCCTCGCAGTTGGACAGCGACCTATCGATAACTACACTTTTGAGCATGGACTTTCAATAAGTTGTGCACCCACCTTATAGTAATTTCATCTAGGCCACCTTTCCCTAGTTTGAGAATATCATGTGGGGCAGCTTTCCCTTTTCCCCTAGTTGTGAGGGCCCCCAAACCAAGTGGTATGGTGACCTGGCGCTTCTCAGGTTTGGCCTGGCCACTCCTTGTCATGACAGAGGGGCACCTGGGCCAAATTTGAGTAAGTGGCGTTGCCCTCTGGTACAAACCGGAGTGGCACTGCGACCCCATGTATCAGATTGCAATGCCCCCAGCCCCATGGGACAGGACACACCACTGCAGGATGAGTGCGGGACAGGCTCACTCTCCGCTCAGTAGTAATTTTTTTGAAGGGGGGGCTCAGTTTTAGGGGCCCCGGGCAAAATCTGTGTGGCCCTGCCCATAGCACAGTTTGGAAACTATATTGTAACCATGGCAGGCGGTAATGACCTGTTTGTGCACTAGAGTCACACCACATCTATCTACAGTCACACCAGTCCTGCTTTCCAGAGTAGCCTTATTCCACGCATGGAAAAGGCCCCAGTGTTCAGTGCAGTTGGAAGGTGGGAAGACAGGTCAAGCCACACCCATGGGACCCACCCCCAAGCTGAGGGATATACCTGCGGGACTTATATGATCACCCTGTTACCGTCGTATCTGAGTGCCTCACAATCTTTACCATATTTACCCTCATAGGTATCCACACTCTCATCTCCATAATACAAATGGGGAATGGAGGCACAGGGAGTCTAAGTGACTTTCCCAAGGTCATAGGGAGATTCTCTGGCACTTGGCAGAGCAGGGATTTGAACCAGGCTCTCTCACATCCCAGGTGACTGCTCTAACCACTGGGTCGGAGCAAATAACCAACTGAGCCAAAAGCTCCCCACATCCAGCAGGGTTTGAAACTAAGTGCCTGGAAAGATTCCTTCAGCCTGGACTCACCCCAGAGGGGGTGGGGAGTGGGTCTCATGGAGCCAGCTCGCCTCCTCCCCTCCCCTCCCCCCAAGGAACTTCTGCCTCCCAGCCAGATCAAGCAGCTTCCCTCCAAACACACCTGCAGGCCTGGCAACCAAAGCGGGGTCTAAGGAGGTGTCTTGTTCCACAGGGAGCTGGGCCCTCAGCTGGGCATTCCCTACAGCTGCACAGACAGCAACCAGCTGGCATCTTTCCTAGGCTGGAGGTGGCAGGGGTGGGGTGGGGATTTTAATCCTCTCTTTGCCTTCTCCCACAGGGGCTCTCTGCGGAAGGGCGGAGGTGCTCGTCAGATATTGTCCCCTGGGGGGTGACCTTGTCAGTGCTGGATTGGGGGGAGCAAACTGCAGCCACCATGCCCAGGCAAATGGAGCCCAAGGTACGGAAAGTCTTGGTCTGCAGGATGCACCTTCAGGTTGTCAGTGCCCCCTTCTGGGCTGCAGGGGAGACTGCATGGCCCCAGGGCTTTAAGATGTGTGGGGCCTCCTGGGTTGGGCCAAGCCTGGATTCGCCTCCGCGCACAGTCCCCCTCCGTCCCTGGCCTGGGTGCTGCAAAATAGGGCCCCGCGCGGCTGCATGCTGGGCCTGTGCTGAGAGCTGGCCCTGAGGCCTTGTTCCATAAGCAGGGGAGGGATCCTAGCAGAGGAAACGGCCAGTGTCGGCAGGAAGAGCTGGGCTTAGCCTTCACTCCCTGCCTCGACGGCAGAGGAATACAGCGATGCAGACGGCAGCCTTGGAGTAAGCGTTTGGAGGATCCAGTCCCCATGTACATTTCCCTTCCTCGCCTCTCTGCCCAAGGAGTCCCACTGCACCTGGCAAGACCCCAGCCTGGCATCTCCCAGGAATTGTCACAGGACACAGGTGTCGCCCAGTCTGCTCTGGTGTCTGGAGAGGCAGAGCTGGCTCCCCGTTAGCCTGCAGGGGTGGCTGTGCAGACTCAGGGAATAACACATCCTTCCTAGGATGTTCCTACATTCTGCATCCACAGTTGGCTGGGAGTCAGTCAAATATAAACTGATCAAAAGAGGCTTTCAAAACCCACGAGTTCCCGGAGTAGAAAGTTCCCCTTGTTGAAATTGGGTGGGTGAGCTGCGGTTTCTCCTCAGTTCCTTTGATACCTTGCCTAATGCAGGCTATGGATAAAGAAGCATCTGATTGCTAAGCCCAGAGATTTAGGGCAGGATTCATACTTTACATCTTCAGAAGACCTAGTAAACAGGGCTGCACTCTCTAATCCTGGGAGCAGGTTTGTACCTGCTCGCTTCGTATAAACCGTGCCGGCTGCGCCGATTTCACAGTGCGGGTGAGTTCAAAACATCGCCTCCGGGGTGAAATGTTTATTGCAGGAGAGATGTTCAGAAAGGTTTGTCAAGAGAAGAGAGGGACGGGCAGCTGGATAGCTGAGCAGAGACTGCCGGACCTTCTCGGAACGGCAAAAAGTCAGGCACATTCCGATCTGGGAGGACCCCATCTCTGCAGTGATGCATTCCACCCTGTGAATTGGTAACCTCTGCCCATCATATGTCTCTGCCCACTGGGCCATCCCTAGCCCCACACAGCCTTCCCCGTTGGAAGGGCTTGGGCGATTGGCTGCTAGGAGACCCAGCAGGGGTTTTCTGGGTCTTGATGTTGCACCGGGGATGGAGTAAGAAGGCTGTCTGGTCCCAGAAAGATGCTGCCTAGGGATTGCTAGTCCCCCTTCTCAGGAAGACAAGGCCAGGTAAGAGGGAGTAGGGCGTGATGTGGGGCTGAGGAAAGGTTACAGAACCTGTGAAGGAGGAGAAGTTACAAAGTACAGATAAATCACACAAGCGTCTGACGCAGTGGGTACTCAGGCAAAACTCCCCTGCGTAGGGACCTCAGGACTGGGCCGGTCGCTGGTTCCCGGGCAGTATCGTGATCCAGGGGCACACATGTCATGGAGCTGCTCTAACCACTGAGTAACCCTTCCTCTCTGAACAGTGCAAGCTGCGTCAGAGCAAACAACCAGCTAAACCAAAAGTTCCCCACAGCCAGGGGTTGAAACAGAGAGCCCAGAAAGGTTCCTTCTGCCCGGACTCACCGCAGGGCGGGGAATCTCTCTATTCTTGTACAATCCTGCAGAACACACAGAAAACGGTGTGGACGGTAGCTGTGACCAGCAGCAGGGCAGAGCCCCCAGCATGCCCTGGAGCTGCCACAGGATCATTTGGCTTGGCACTTTAACCCGTGTGGATTCGGAAACTGGTAATTGGATGCCTTGTGGCTTGGCAACTGCCTCTGAATGGATCAAAGTCCCATGTCATGTGTGACTCCCTGGGACAATGACCATGCAGGAGTCCAACAGCAGTGCCTTGGGAAACGCGGTACTTACAGGATCTTCAGGCTGTAGAGGCCAGAAAAGGCTTCTCCTGGGATCTGGGAGAGCTGGTTTCCAGAGAGGCGCCTGCAGAAAAGAGGAGCCAGTGTCACATCAACATCTCTGTAATGCCAGTGCTTTGTCAGAGGACACATAATAACCTGCACCTCATGCCTCTTGCTACAGCTCAGGAGAAGACTGTGGATACGACTGAATGCTGAACGTAAGACTCGCACTCAGTACCCCATTCATTAGCTAATGGTGAGGGAGGTTCATGCTTCTAGCAGGGAACGACCCAAACTCAGTCCCCAGTGATGACCCATGGCTGGGGCCATTCCATGCCCCACTGGGAGAGGACTCTGTGCTACAGTCACTAAGGCAGGAGAGAGGAAATTAGACTTATGACTGCCATTGTAAGAGGCATTGACTCTTTTTCCTCCATAAAGATAGCCACTAACAGTGACTGCAAGGAGAAACCCTGCTTTGCTGGCCTAAAAGCTGGTAGTGATGGCACAGCAGTGTGGGAACGATCCCCCTTTGCTAGGACACAGAGAAACTCATTATGAATGGGATTATTCCCCCCGCCCCGTTCCTATGCCCTCTTTTGCCACCCTCTCTGCCCTGTCTGGCACCTTTTGGCCAGGTGAGGCCTGTTAGCGTGTCCCCACCGCGTTGCCAAACTTCACGGATTTAACGCTTTCCCCATAGGTCCGTCTCTCCAAATCCCTGCTCATTGGGGTCACGCCTCTGAACTCCTTCCAATTTATCACTATCACTCTCAAAACCTTGAGCAGAGTCATGAGTTCATAGCCAGCTCCAAACTCCTCCAGAGCTCAGGAGGGTTTGGGTGCCCTGGGTCACACCCATTGCTACAGGAGAGAGACCAATACAGAAAATATCACAATGCCACTACATAAATCCATGGTGCGCCCACACTGGAATACTGTCCACAGTTCTGGTCGCCCCATCTCAAAAAAAAGATATATTAGAATTAGAAAAGGTGCAGAGAAGGGCAACAAAAATGATTAGGGGCATGGAACAGCTTCCATACGAGGAAAGATTTAAAAGACTGGGACTTTGCAGCTTGGAAAAGAGAAGGGGAGATATGATAGAGGTCTATAAAATCATGACTGGTCTGGAGAAAAAGTGTTATTTACCCCTGCACATAACACAAAAATCAGGGGTCACTCAATGAAATTAATAGGCAACAGGTTTAAGACAATCATAAGGAAGTACTTCACACAATACACCACCAACCTGTGGAACTCATTGCCAGGGGATGTTATGAAAGGCCAAAAGTATAACTGGGTTCAAAAAAAGTTAGATCAGTTCATGGAGGGTAGATCCATCAATGGCTATTAGCCAAGATAGTCAGGGATGCAACCCCATGATCTGGGTGTCCCTAAACCTCTGACTGCCAGAAGCTGGGACTGGATGGCAGGGGATGGATCTCTCAATAATTGCCCTTTTCTGTTCACTTCCTCTAAAGTATCGGAAGACAGGATACTGGGCTAGATGGACCATTGGTTTGACCCAGGATGGCCGTTCTTATGTTCTTAGAGGATGAGGGGGTTCAGAGACAGGTGACAAGAATGATCAGGGCAGGGAAAATCTCTCACATGAGGAGAGACTAATGATTGAGATGGTTACTTTAGCGGGGAGGCGACTGAAAAAGGGGGCATGGTAAAGGAATACAAAGCGGCAAATGCTCTGCAGAAGGGAGGTCAGTTTTTAAAAATCTCCTGATTTTAAAGCCAATCCATGCAGTCACATTTTCAAGCTCTGTTCTGCAACCACAAAGTCTAGAAACTTACTTTTATTTTTAAGGAAACCTGTGATCCCCATTTATTCACATGACTGCAGGAGCTGGGGCTTTAACACGAAATCCCATGAGAGATGACAGCACATCCATGGCAGTGGTGCCACCCAATGGCTGGGGGTGGAGGGCATCGGGAGGACCCGTGAAAGCCCTTATCAGGTGTAAGACTCAGCAACCAATGCCTGAGATTGGGCATAGGTATGATAGGGGATGTAGGAATTAAGACCTGGCAAGAAATCCAGTTCCTTTTTTAAAGGCGTGGATGTGAACTGGGTGCTAACTGATGGATTCATTTCAGAAGCTGCAGACTATATTTCAGCGAGTGTTTTGAAAAAGGCCACAGACTGTCGGCTGTAAGAAGCTTCTGGGATCAGTCCCAGGCATGCCCACTCACCGCTGGCCATGCGCAATTGTGTCCGTGCCAGCACTCACTCACTCACTCAGTCCCAACTCAATCCCCCGCCCCACCGCTGGAATCCAGGGAAAATTGCTCCCATAATTAGGCCTCCAACAGCATAAATAGCACAGGGTCGTCTCTTTAATGTGTGGGAGCAGGCTGGAACCTGCCTCTTTGTGGTATGTAAGCTGCCTGGCAAGCTGGGCTATTTGTCACCAGGGGAGTGCGATTCGGTGAAACTGCTCCCTTTGACGACCGATTTCCACATGGGGAGAGGATGCCTGGGAGATGAGACTATGGGGGCGGAGGGCAGCTTCCCGAGCGGCAGTCCCCCGGCTGCTTTGAACAGCCACCGCACAAAACCAAAGCGGCGATGCTGGTTCCTGCAACAGGAATCTTGGTAATGCATGGGAGACGGGGGCCATTCAAACGGGGGCCATTCAAACAGCAGCCAGTTCCCAGGTAGATTGGAATGTACCCGATAAACGAGAGCCCAGACCGTGCCCCATCTTGCTGTGTGCCCTAGCGGGGTGACCCAGAGCAGAGCACTGCAGTCCCTTCCCCCCCAGACTAAGCTTATAAGGGGGCACTTGGATCTGAACCAAGGACCCCTTGATCCACAGTCAAACAGTCGAACACTGAACTCTGCTCCCGTGACAGGGCCAGGTAGGGGCTTGCACATGTTGCACTCAGCAGCAAGGAAGCATGAGCAGAGTCTGGGAGGTTCCTGGGGAAGAAGCCACCCACCCCAGCAGGCACTGTCCTATTCACCCCCTGGTGGGAAGAGAGCTTGGGGGGGGTATAAATCGGGGGGAACTGGCTGTCAGCACTAGTGTCCTGTTCCCCAGCATTAGCTTCTTTGGCCATTTAACCTGGCACGCCCGAGACACAATGATCCCCCTGTGCCCACGGTGCTGCATTCCCGTGCTTATTGTCAATCAGCAGCCTCCTCCCCCTTCCCTTCCAGGCTCTCTTGAAAGTCACCCGCCTGCCGGGCAGATTCCTTCCATTAAATGCATCGTTGGAAGCCAAAATACCATGACGTTCAAGCCGACGGAGCCTCTCTCCTTTGCTTTCATTTAGAGGAGAGACAACGACTCTCACAGCGATGCGGACAATGCCGGCTAATTCGGGACCAGCGGCCCCCTCTGCCCCCAGTATTACAGTTCACCCCTTCTCCACAGGAAACTGGAACCATATTTCCAAGCAGCCCATGAGACCCGAGCTGGGGAATTCACCCGCTGGGGGCACGGATGGGAATGGGAAGCTGCTCTTCTAGGAAGGGGTGTCAGTCCACCCCAAGAAGATGAGCTAGGGCTATTTCCACTGAGGGTGACCACATAGCAAGTGTAAAAAAATCGGGATGAGGGTGTGGGGGGGTAATAGGTGCCTATATAATAAAAAGCCCCCAAAATCGGGATTGTCCCTATAAAATCTCCACTTCTGCTCCAGACCTCAGACACCCCCACATCTGTTTGGGGTGTGCAGGGCTGGGGCTCAGGCCCATCTCGCTGAGGAACAAGCTCGACTCTGCTCTCCCCTCTGGTAGGGTTACCATTCGTCCGGATTTACCCGGACATGTCCTCCTTTTTGTGCTAAAAATAGCGTCCGGGGGGAATTTGTAAATCACTCAAAATGTCCGGGATTTCCCCCCTCCCCCGGCCAAGCAGAGCGAGCGGCTGGGAGGGCTGCAGGAAAGTCACGGGCTGGACTCCGGAGCAGCTGTAGAGGAGCTCCTCCCCCCCTCCCTCCCTGCAATCTGAGCCGGCAGCTCCTCCTCCCCGGCAGCCCCGCGCCCCGCTCCAGCAGCACTGTGTAGGGCCAGGGACCGGGTTGTGTGTTGTGCTGGGGAGCGCAGCCACGTGTCCGGCTCGCACAGAGCCCAACACCCTGTTCTGAGCAGCAGGGTAAGGGGGGCAGGAGAAGGGGCAGGGAGGTTCTGGAGGGGGCAGTC